CCATCATTGTTGTACAGTCAGCCATACTGTTACTTCCTTAAAAGAAATCTTTGAGACTTCTTATTCCTGACCTTAATTCATTTACTTACTGACCTTTAAGTTCTCAATCTTTAATAATTACATTTAATGTTTAATCGTTAATACTCAAGTTAAAACTACAAATTAATAAAGTGCTCTCTCTTTATAAATTAAGTTCATTCTGTGTGAGATTTATTAATATTTGTTGTTAGGCTTTGTGTGCCTTTAAACCCCACTTAGAAATCTTAGATTTCTGTCATCGATCTCGGTACACATTCAGTGATTCATTGATTGTGGTCTTGTCACAGACCCACACCCTAACAGTTTAGTTTTCGAATCTTTTATCGAAGTTGAAAGAAAATTTTGCTTCAAAAATTGACTTCGAATTTGGAAGAAACAATTTTTGGTTGATACTGATGTCGACTATTTAAATGCTGTTAATTGATATTTTTCACTCCCTTCCACTCATTTGATAACAGACGTGATAAAATTTGTTTTTGTCTTTCTGTTCATTCCATTGTTATAGTTCCGCCTAAATGGACATTGGCTCCAAGTGATGCTGATTCAATTGTGGGTGAAGATGTTATCATGGACTGCCAAGCCTCTGGATACCCTCAGCCTAGAATCTGGTGGGAACATGCAGATACAACAATATCCTCCTCCTCTTCCTCATCATCCTCTTCCTCTTCACCAACTCATTATCAACCAGTTATCAGCAATTCTCATATCCATGCTCTTGAGAATGGAAGCCTAATTATCAAGGAAATTACTAAAAATGATGAAGGTTATTATCTTTGTCAGGCAACTAATGGAATCGGTTCAGACATAAGTAAAGTTGTTAAAATTTCAGTTCATGGTAACTATGATAATCTTTTTGTTTTTCAACATTCCTCAATACTTCAATCCCAACAAGTTTGTCTGTTTTTTGTTTCCCTGTTTTGTTCACCAAAAATGAAATCTCAACCCAGCCAATGAATCACAAAGTACATGGTTAAATTAAAAGTACATGAGACAAATGGATGAGAAGAAGAAGATGAAAAAAGAAAAAGGTTGATTACTTTTTAACACCTTTACAATGCTTCATGAAGCATTAAATTTTGTGATTGATTAACACGCCGACACTTTTCATTCATGATGAGCTGATAAATGAAAGTGTTGCAGCTTACAGTTTATGTTTACCTTTTCATTCACTGATCAAGAAATGATGATGAACATCAGTAAAAGTAATTCGAAAGGTTAAGCTTCAAGAATTTAAATAGAGATGAACTTCGATAAAAGACACCAAAATGCATGGTAAACTTGGTACAAGATTATTCAATCAATTGATTTATCGTTGGAATAAAGTTTTTCTCCTTTGACTCTTTACTTTGATCGTTTGTTTGTTGATCCATTAATCATGGACAAATTCATCATCTATTCATCATTAAATACTTTTGTTTTAAAACATTCAAGATTGTAATCGAACAAATTGAGCCCAAACTACTCAGCTAATGAACAACTCCACAACCAGAGACAGTATTGACTTAGAATCGGAATACAATTGTTACCTGAGATACTCAATGTCAAGATTATACAAGTTGTCTACGAGTTTTGCTTCGATCTCTTTTTTCGTTGAGATCTTTACCGGCTTGATCTACCATTGCTGCTTTAAGCTACACTCAGGGAAGCCAATTTTATTCTTTGATTACTTCGCCAGTTGTCACACTTATTCTGAGTTGAACTTGCTTGTTTCACTTTGTTGATCATTGGGTCACTTTGTATTGTTGCTTGAAAATGATTAACCATGATTGGATTAGTCACATTGATGATCGGTTTGATGGGTGAAAGTTGATTCAATTTTAATTTCGCTTTTAATTAAACTAGAAAAAAGTGTCCATTATCTTTACATGGCATGCAAGTGAAACTTGTTTGGTCATTTAATGAGTTTAGAGACACAAAAAGTAATCAATAATGATCCAGTTTAATTATAAAGTGAAGTCGAGTTTCATTTTACTTGTTTGTTGATTAAAAATGAAACATTGGTAAAGTGCAAGATTGGATGGTTTAAAGACTGGCCAAGTTGAAGACTAGCAAAGAAGAGTAAATTTATTGATCAACATTTCAATTTGTAAGCAAACTGATGAAAACAAATGTGTGTTCCATCGAGGAAAAAGCCGAGAAATTCATCCAATTCTCAATTTCGCCTTTTACTCTCCACTCCATGTTGATCAATGAATCAAAGGGAACACAAACATCAAGACAAACAACAATTATTTGAAAAGTTGATTTGTAAAAGGAAAGGAAAGCGAGCCAGAAAAAAAGATGTATTAAGCCTTTTGTTGAACAACTGAGATGAAATTTAGTGAAAAGTTCAATGGTCAATCTGTTTGGACAAGATAATGTGTTTAAAGGAGTGAAACAATGAAAAGTGGAAACAATAGATTGACATTGGACGAAAAAGAGGAAAACAGGGAAAAAATGTTAAAATGTGTAACTTTGAATCAATCAAGTTTCACAAGTTGTTTAATTAAACATTAATATTATTATGGTAATCAATTGCAAGACAAAAGGATGAATTGAAATGGATAACAATGTTTGCCCTTTTGGCGACAAAATTGAATAGGAAAAGCAGCAGATAACTGGAAACAGCTTGCAATCTCATTGAACCATAATGACGATCAAAAATGATGAACAAGACGAAGAAAAGGTTGACATTTTTACTTTCATTCAAATTGGATGAAACTGTTATAAATATGAATTGAAGATGAGGATGAAAGTAAACAATTTTGCTATTAAAATGGTTCATCATCTGTTGCAATTGTTGCTCCAGAATGAAACAAAAAGTTAATAAAAATGGAAATCGTAATAAAAGGTTTTGAAAAATATATTTTAATAAAGATAAAATAATAAATGGAAAAATGATTCGTCTTTATTGTTATTACATTTTTGCCTTTTGTTTATTTGTTAGTTCAATATTTCAACTCTTATTCAATCCCAAGTTGAGTGAAACATTTTGTTTTCATTTCATTACAAATTTCAAATCAATTTTAGCTTCAATTACAAGATTGAAAAATGTTTTAATTGCATTTCTCATCAAATGAAAAGTAAATTAATTTGCAATTTCAATTGTAAATGTTTCAATTAGCAACAAAAAGCAAATGTTGACATTTTGCATTTCAATAAAGTTTTGTAAATTTCATGGAAAATTGAACTTCACCAAAAAATTTCAAACTGTTCATTCAATTAACTTCCGTTCAAGTTTTGATAACTTTAATGATTGATTCCTGGACCTTTTCACCAGTCAAATTAGTTTAATTGAAACAATTGAACAGGGAAACAACAACATTTATCAACACAATTGATACAAATAGTGAAAACAATTAGTTGGAAGAAGAAGAAAAATGATGAGAAGGAGAATCATGAAGAGGAAAGTGAAAGGGAGGAAACAATAACTTAATAAGTTGGTGAAAATGAAAAGGTTAAGAAGGAAAAGGAAACGAAAAATTGTTAAACTAATATCGAAGAGAAAACAATTGAAAGGGTTTTCTCTTTGGATAAAGTTCATCTTTTCATCTTCTTCTTCTTCTTGTACGCTCAATGGTTATCAATGATGATGATGGTAATGATGGAAAACAATTGGATTTTGAACAATATCCTTTAGTACTTCAATTGTATCGGTCAATCATTTTCATACATTTCATCTTTCATCGCCATCTTCATCATCATTGATCATCCCATAACTTTTCTCTTTTTTTTCTTGTTCTTGTTCCAATGGTCATCACATACTCAATACTAATCTTTCCAATCGTCCATCATTCTCATCCATATCGAAATATCATCGTCTTTCCTTATCTAATAGTTTTCCCTCCCAGTCTTTATCCACTCTCATAATCACTATTATCTTCCTTCTCATAATAATCGTCATCATTATTTTTCTCTCTTCAACTTTTTTGCTCTTCTTTTTTTTCTCCTTCTTTCTCTTCTTTCACCTCAATCATGTTCAGCTTAATTGATGTACTTGGGATTTCATTTTCGCTTTTCTCTTCCTCCTTTTTTTTCCTCTTCGCCATCATCTTGTGCTCTTCCTATTATTATTTCACTTCTTTACTTTTGTTATTTTCTTCTTCTTCTTTTTTGTCTACCTTTTCTCATCATGTTTATCCTCTCATCTCTCTGATTATCATTTTCATCTTTTCTCTTCGTGCTTCTTTTCTCACCAGTTCCACCCTATTTTGAATCATCTTTCACTGCTCAAACAATCAAAAAGGGAGATTCACTTGAACTTTCCTGTGAACCTGCTGGTGAAAAACCGATAACCATTAGTTGGAGTAAAGATCGGATAGCCTTTGAACCATTAAAGGAGCCTCGTTACAAGATTGTTGAGACTCTCAAAGAGTCCACTTTTTTACAAATTTTAAGGATCGAAGCAGCAGATCGAAGAGATTCAGCTCTTTTCACTTGCACAGCTTCAAACAATTATGGTAAAGATGAGCTTAATATACAAGTTATTTTACAAGGTAAACATTTTTATTCAAACTTATACAAATACGAGAACAGCTTTTTGAGAATAAATTTTCATAAGATTGATTCGATGAACTAAGTTTTGAACGAATTTTCAAGTTTCTTTTGTCAGTTGGTTTCAACGAAATTACAAAGATTGCATTTTTGAGTTCGAACTGATTTATTGTTTACTCTTGTTTCCCTTTAGAGCCCCCTGATAGACCTGAAAATGTTCGAGTTACTGATATTGAAAGTCGATCTGTAATAATACTCTGGAGCATTCCCTATTCAGGAAACAGTATTATCGTTTCATATAAAATTGAGTACAAAAAGAAGCCCAGTTCCTGGGGATCAAAGGAAATGTTTACTGAAACCGTCCTTGGAACAGTAAATTCTGTTACATTGCGAAACTTGGAACCAACCACAAGCTACCAGATTCGTATTAAAAGTGCCAATGCTTTAGGTTCTTCCGAGTATAGTGATATTATTGAATTTACAACTGATGAAGAAGGTAAAACAATCGAGTAAAACAAACGAAAACTAAAACTTTTCGAAATTGACTTTTTACTCTTTTCTCTTTCAAAACTCTCCAAAAACAGCTCCAAGTTTACCACCTGAAGATGTCAAAGTGTTTCCATTGACTTCACGGACTCTTCAAGTAACATGGAAACCCGTTGCTCATCACGGTCAAAACGGGCCAATCAAGGGTTACTACTTAGGTTACCGAATCCACGGTTCGGGAGATCCATACACATTCAAAACAATTTCAGCCGATGGTTCATCAAAGACCAAACCAGGCAAAGTGAGTGAGTCGAGGCGAAAGTCATTACCACAATTGATTGATGAAAATTCCGATTTGGTCGATTCTGAAGGCGATGCAAATGATGCCAATGAAAGCGATTCCCATTCATACAATGGACACTTTGCATCCAATCAGCACACTATAAAGATTGGCGATCTTCGCAGGTCGACCAAGTACGCCGTCATTGTGCAAGCCTTCAACTCTAAAGGTCCAGGACCTCAATCAGAAGAGATCATCTGTGAAACTTTGGTAAATGATCCACCTCCAGCGCCCATTTTGACCATTGGCACAGTCACTTATTCGTCCATCGAGTTGCACTGGAGTTTCATGGAGTCAGAAACAAACTCAGTGACAGTCGCAACAGCTTCTACACGGAAAGACGGTTCAACCGATATTCTGGTCAATGGATATTATATTCACTTTAAAAGTCACAGATCCGATTGGCAAGAGAAGCAAATTTCAGGCTTGAAAAAGTCGATAGTCATGGACAACTTGGACTGTGGCACTTCATATCAGTTTTACATAGCAGCCTACAACAACCTGGGCAAAGGTGATCCAAGTCAAGTGATTGCGGGCAAAACAAAGGGTTCAGGTTAGATTTCAATTCAATTAATGAAAACAATTAATGTTAACCAAAGAGAAACAAAAGGTTAATAGCTTTTCCTTGCAACAATTAGTCAATTTTATTGCCATCAATTAACGTAAAGTATCAATGTTTTGTTCAATGTTTCGTCTCTTCCGTCAAGTCTTTTCCGTCATTTGCTTCAATAACTAATTACTTTGCCAGCATTTCCATATTTAATGAGAAACAATTTTCTCCAAATTAACCAATTCATACAACAATTAATTGTCTTTTAAATTGCTTCCTAATGAGCAAAAAAGAGTTTGAAAAACATTCTTTTCAACGAAATTGCTTTTCGAAAAAATGTTCAAAAAAAGATTCGACATTCAACCAGATCACAATTGATGAAAATTAATCAAACTTTCAATCTTTGCATTTCTTTTGTTGCACTCAAATCTCAGGTATTCTGAAACTGAATAAATTGTGAAAAGAAGGAAAAAAGTGAAATAAAGAAGGAAAAGTGCAATTTCGTCAATTAGCTTAATCATGATTTATTTTTGTCCATTATTTAAGTTTATCGTAAGATTAACTTTAAGATGTATAATGTGACACAAAATGAGACCGATTCTTTATCTAAAGTTCAACTGAAAAGGTGGAAACATTGAGACAAGGTAAGAACAAAATAAACAGGGAAAAAGGAGAAACAAAACTAATGATAATATTGGAAAGAAAAGGTTTGAAGAAGAAGAAAAAAAGTGAAGATAAATGTGAATGAAAAACATGAAAGGTATGAAATGTAAACAACAATGGAACAGGTAGGAAATTCATTACAATTGAGTTTACTGAGTCGATGGTCAAACACCTTTAAAGAGACTTTCAAAGCTAATCAAAGGCAAAGAGTCGTCAGTAGGGAGTGAAAATACATTATATTCATTGTTATCGCTTTGATATTATTTCTTTCATCTTATCATTCCAAGAATATAATGTTCAAGAAGGAAAAGCTGAAAAGAGAGAAAAAGATAAATCCCTTTTTCCCATTTTTCCTCTTTTCTCTTTCTTCTTGCAAAAATTATTCCTAATTCCTATTTTATGGGCAAAATTTCAATGTTTCCTTGTTTCACTCCCAGTCCAAATGTCTTGATAAACTTGATAACAATAAGTTTAGAAGTTAATTTTCTTTTCTTTTTACCATTTTTCAATTTCATTTTCTCGTTTAGAATTTTGTTTCCTTCTTGTTTCAATTTCATTTAAATGGTGTAAAAGGTTTAAACTGAGACTATTATCAAGCTGATTAAGTTGTTGAATTTGGGTTTGCAATTTCAATGTTAAAATTAACTTTTTAAGCTCAATTTAGCGCCTCTAAACGTTGATCATTTGCAAGTTTGGGAAATTTTCAAATTGGTTAAATGATCGAAAAGATTTCAACATTTTTCTCGTTTTTTCAGATCTGCTCATTATTGAAACAATTTTTGTTGAATATTTTTTATGAGCAATTTAACTTGTTATTAATATGGATGGAAGCTTATCAATGTTGAATACAATTAGTAACTGGATTTAAGTTAATTTTGGGTGTTTTACGCTTGCATTGTTAATGATAACTCTTTCATGATCTTTGGCTGTTGAGTTAAATTTGCTTTTTGTTTTTTGGGTTTTGATTGTAATTGTTTGTTCTTTTTGGGTTTCTTTTGTCTTTAGTTCCCGTTCCTCCGATTGCAGATATTTTTATAAGTGCCAACTCTTCATCGGCCACTCTCAACTTGTCCACTTGGAAACCTCATGGATGTCCGATTAGCCATTTTGAGATTGAATATAAGGTTAAATTGGTGCCTGACTGGATACCCATGGCCAGTCAAGTAGATGGTAATGATAAACAACTTACTCTTGTTGATCTTAAACCTGGAACTTGGTATTCGCTGTTGGTTGCTGCCCATTCAGAGGCTGGATCAACTGAAAGGGAATACACTTTTGCCACTTTAACTGACAATGGAGGTGAGTTGCGGCCATTCCATCGCATTCCGAACGCTTTCGAAATGTCTTCAAGAATGACTGCAATGAAAGAAAAGTGTTTCAAAGGTTTTGCAAAAAACCTTCCTTCCATTCACAGAGTAACTTGGAAAGACTTAATTTATCTAGTTGAGCAAGTCTCAAGACTTAATCTAAAATCTCGAGAAGACTGTGAAAAATGTTCTAATGTTAGTCTCTTGAAATCGACTCTCATCGAGTTATCAAAAACTTTCTTAACTTTCAAAGTCACCGTTCGATTTTTTATCAAATTTCACGATAGATGGCATCAAGATGTCTGTAGACCAACTTTGCTTCAACTGATGAAGGAAACCGAAAAGGTTTACTTTGAAATTTTACAAAATATTAAAGTCGAACTAGCTTGAGATGTAACAAATTGTAAATCAATTGGAAACTCATGAGTTTAAATCGAAACTAGAACATGAATCTACATCACGAGAGCATTATAACGAATATTGCATTTCACAGAATTCAATTTTTAAACTTTACTATCGATGCGATCATAAAGATGACAGAATTTTGTAGAAAATCAGTTTTTTCTGTTTTCCTTTTTGTTCAATGTCCAAACCATAATCGTTTAATAATTTGAACGACAGTGAATCAGGAAAAATCTTCTGACCAGATAAACATGATGTAAAATGTTGTTTCCTTTTCAATGTTATCCCATGGTTTTACTCAATTTCCTTGAGCCCTTCAACAATTTACTTGAAAAGTAAAAGAAGAAAAAATAGGAACCATTGTTAAGCCAAAGAATATCAATTCACTTCCTTAGGTGAATGTTGTTGTTCATGGAGAGAAAATTATTCCAAAGAAAATACTCTTTCTTTTCAACTTCCTTTTCTCTTTTTTCTTCCACCAAATGTTTTATTCTCGATTCAACTTGATTCTTCATTAATTTCATTCCATTCAACATTTTTCTCAACACAATTTTTCCCTTCATTTTCTCATCTTTCATCTTGATCCTTTTACTGCATGAAAGTACATCAATTGACTCAAAACATTGAAACATCATTTTCCTTTCATTCTCATTCTTATCAACCATTTTCACTGTCAAGCGAAGAAAAAAGTGTTAACACTTCCGAAGTAATCACTTCACAATGAGAATTGTTTTCACGATGAAACTCGAATCATAATCTAGATCATTAACAGTGAAAAGAGCAAAAAAAAGTTTCACTTTTGACCAAACAAACTCGACTAATTACATTTTCACCTTTTCGTCTACAGCAACAATATCGCCCCTCGACTTGAGTCGTCCCTTGTATCCAAGTTTAACGTTAATGGTGCCAACAAGTTGTGCTGTGATAGTGCTCATTGTAATAATCATAATCTCCTTACTTTTGATATTCAAAAGTCATTCTTCCGTTAACCTGCAACATCATAACCACCAGTCAAATGGTACATACGACGAGACTGGAGTCACTTGCGGTGAAGGTCTGGGTGAACAGTCAACCTCTGGCCGTGAAGAGCGACTCCTCTCCACTAATGGCATCTTGACTCTGCTTGGTGAACCCAATGGCAAGGAAAGCTCAATGGGCTCCGAGTTTTGCGAGACTCCAAGTAAACTCTATTATCCAACACCTTATGCAACCAACCATATCGACTATTCAACCATGCAAGTTGGTACCCCGCCTCCACCTGCACCTCCACCACCACCGCCACCCTCATCACTACCAGGTCAGGGTTCAACCCTAAACAAGTCTCATCATGTTCACCTACAACAGCAACATGCTCACCTCAATGTCCACCTTCATCCACCTTCTTCAGCTTCTTCAACGGTTCTCCATTCGATACATCATCACCATATCGACTCGAATGAGGTAATTGATTGAACATTTCTATTGATCGACATTTCGACTAATTTTCTTGTTCTCTTTTTTTCTGTTACACCAACAGAGAACCAGTTCATTCAAAGGAAGGAAAAATATTTACCAAGTTGCCAGAACTTTACTTTAACGAGCTTAATCATTGAAAATTCTGGTCAATCGATAGTTCCTAAGCGCAAAGATGAACATTTTTTTACTCTCAATCATGATGATAATCCATTGCCATTTGTCTTCCTTAAACAATATCATTAAAGTTGTTGTCATTATTATTGATGAAAAATGAATCAATTTGATCAATTTAATTGTTAAAAAGTGTATTTGAAAATGTTTTTTATTACTCAAGTTTGACTCAAATGGACTTTTGAAATTTATCAATTTTTCTCAATCATTTTATTGAAATAAAATAAATAACGAAAAGTTTGATTCAATTTTGTGCATTTGTTTTCGTTGACTCACATCAATCAAAGGTATCAATTGAATAAAGGAAAGGTCATCAAAAGGTTGACCATTGAAATGGTTTGATAATCAATCAGGTCAATGATGAAAGAGTTTGCAAAATGAACGGAAAACTTATTTACTTTGGACTTTCATTTTGCAAGTTAATGATTAAAATCAATCAATGAATTCAATTGTAATAAAGTGTTGAATAAAAACGTTTCAATTAAAGTTTAAATTCATGTAAACAAATAAATCAAGAAATGAATTTCAACTTTCGATTCAAAGTAAAGATCATTCAAAGTTACAGGTTTAAAGTGTTGATACATTGTCAACAAGTTTTGTCATCTATTCGAAGGTAAATAGAACCTTGAAATGTTAATAATCTCGAAAGTTTTCCTTTCAAATGATAATTAAAATTGTAATTGAATTTGAATGAATTTTACGCAATTTAATAGTTTTCTCATCACAATTAAGTATTGTCGTTGGTGGACAAAACAACGACCTTAAGAGTTTTCAAGTTTTCTTCATTTTCTTTGGACTTGGAATGTAAGAAAATCTCGTGAAAGAAAACGAACCTTGGACAATTTAGAAGACAAAAAATGGCCTAAAATATTCTTCTTTTTTCGCCGATTTCTATGAGAAACTTTGAGCAGAGATTCATTTTTCAATGCTTTTCATAGCTTTTGGAATGTTGAAACACGAATTTAAAATGAACTTGGATTTTATTTCAGGCAGTTGAAACAATTTCATCGAATAGAAGTGCATTTTGCATGCAAGATGGATCAACAATCATGGAAATTCTCATCAATTTTCGGAGCTTTCATTTGAATAATTTATATTCAAAGAGAAGCTGCATTTCCATTGAAGCCAAGATTCAACTGTTCTTATAAATTGCTTTATTTTCAGGTACTTTTTGTTTACATCAATCGACTTGCCACTTGTGATTCGTCAAGCTCATAGCATCTCATGCTACGTGCACTTGCACGAGCTAAGTCATTGTCGATATTGGTTAAAACATACGGGTTTTGAGGTTCCATTATCGTTGTCATTCATTCAAAGTGAATTCAAAGGTTACATAGAGCTGCATTATTACAATAAGAATAACATTTGTACACTTACTTTTACATTCTAATGTTTACGGTGATTATGGAAGATATGCAAAGATCAGATTTTCTCAGTTTTTGTTCAGTATTATTGCATGAACATTGAAAAAGCTAGCTTTAAAGGATGGCTATGGCTCCATCTCTGGATATTAAAACTATTTGGTAACTTTATGCTCCATAAAGTCGTAAAAAGAATTGAGAGCAACTCTTAAGAGTTATAACTTTGTTTCATTTCAATTAGATGCAATTAATATCTATTCACTGATCATTGATTTAAGTCATATTTCTGTCAGCAGTTTCGATAAGATTAAACAGTAATGAACATTTCTACGTTTGATCGAAAGTTGCAAAAAATTATTCCCAGATATTTTGATTGAAAAATTAACAAAACAAAAATCATCTTTAAATTTAGAAGTTATTTTGCATAGAAACAGACTTCATCGAAATCGATCTCGTGCAATATTTATCAAATGCATAAATCAGATCAAAACATCTTCAAGAACCGATGAAGACTAGAACAGAAAGCGGTTAAAAGTTGAATAACGAAGATCATCTGGCAGTTTTTCTTGTTCTACTGGCGAAGTGACTTTTGTCCACAATTAGCACGTTTAATGACATTATAATAATAAATAGATATTGTAATTAGCCAACTAAAAGGCTAACAAGAGTAAAAAGGCGTTAAGTGAGTGAGAAAAGTTGAGTAACAAAAGTTAACCTGATTGTGAATTTAATTCATGTTTTGATCATCATTTCAAGTGAGAGACAAAACTGGACTTGTCTCTCACTTTCACTTTTTAATGACAATCAAAGAGACGGACAAAAGTGTGAATAAAAATGGACACAAGGTGAATCAACAACAGCACAGTAAAGCAAGGTTTTACCAACTGAGTCGCAATTAATGTGAACAATTGAATGTACAACAATATTGATATATTTTTCGACTTCAAAACTCGAAAGATAAATTTTCCATTTAAAGATGAAATCAATGGAAAGTCTCGATCAGTTGAAAGATAAATTGCAATTGAATGTAGCCACTAATTGGTGTCCATCTAATAGCTAATGGTCCAACTTGTGGCATTGATATAATCACGAATAAAGAAGCTAATTGACTTTCATTTACTCAACAACAACGGTTCACTCCTTCATCATCATCATCATCCTACACTAAACTGGCCCATTGTTCAGCGACAAGCGTTCAACAAGCAAACTTTCATTTACTTCAATTATCTTGATTCTTGTTCATCATCGTGTTCAGACAAGTTCAAGAAATGCAACTTGCTTGAGTCTCCAAAGTTAACTGCAAAACAATTGCCTAAAAGGTCATCACTTGAAACTTCATCATCGTACTTGTTTCATTCAAACTTGATTCTAACCTAATTTCAGGTTTTACCGAAAAGGTTTCACTGAAGAAGGAAAAGTCAACTTTCAATTTTTACTCAAGTATTTGTTTAATGTGCAAATACTTATATTCACTTGTTTCGTCGATTGTTTACTCGATAGAAATTTGTTGATTAATGATGAGCTTTAATTGTCATTTAGTCAATTATCGTAATCATTATTCATCTACTTGGTCATCTTTAGCTTCATCTTTTTTTAGCTTTCATTGCTTGTTTAAAGGTTTACTTGTTGTCGCCTCATTAACACTTGTCTCATCATCTGTGGTTATAAGTTCATCAATTGTTCCTAATCATCATCGTGAAGATTCAGCTTTCCAGGCTTCTTCATCCTCATGGAATTATGCTTACCATTTTAATTGGCATCAAGATGATCCCAAGGGTCATCCCAAAGTGTCCAGATATGCTGAAACCTCAAACAGTAAACAATACATTGATCCACCTTTTCAGATTGGACAAGATGCTCATCAGCCCAAAGTGATTAACAGTCGATCATATCGTCATGTTCAACCAGAGGGTCAGCACAAGGGTCCATTTCCATTCAATGGAGAACCTCATCAGCCTCATGCAAATCATGATTCCAGTGCTTTCATTGAAAATATCAGGTAATTAGAGTAATTCATTTTCCTTTCCAAGAACTTCAATAAGAGTAAAATAAATGAATGCAAAGACTTTGACTTTCAAGTTAACAAATGAGACTTTGTGAGTTTTTAAGGACATGAAAAGTTTATTTGAAAATAAAAACAAAATAAAGATCCATAAAAAACTTTTGTGATCGAGAAAATCGAGCCAAAAGTTGAAACTTCGATCGCCTTTTGTACAATTATGGAACCAGATTTTTCATCAAACTGAGCTTTATAAAGTAAATTTTAAAAGCTTTTAAACTTATTTTGAAGATGAAAGTTTCTTTACGACAAGTCACTTCGATTTTCAACTAAAGCCGCCAAATGATTTTGATAGTTAAAGAGCTACAACTTTTGATTCTGGCCATTGATTCTAACCCTTCGAGTATCGGATGTCAAAGTTTATGTTAGATTTCAGTCGGACTTAAAATTAAAACTAGGATTTGATTTGCTTATTAGGTTCAAAGCATTTCACGAGCAATTTTGTTGCTCATCATCGACTCATTTTGCATGATTATTGTAACAGAAACTAAAAAACTCGCATTTAGTGCAGGTTTAACCTTTGATGACAAAAGTTGATCTCAACTAAGATCGCTTTGACTCTAATTGATTAATCAATATTCAAGTTGAATCATTACACAATTTCATCTTTTTGTTAGTAACTAATAAAATTACCATTAGTTGATAAATCATTAAGTTATAATCATTTCTCATGATATCATCGAAATTGTAAATTGTTGTTTCTTTTATTGAAAACAGTTACAATTGAAATGAAAAATTTGCTCACAATACAAATCTAAATGTAACCATACAATGAGTTTTGCCTTTTCTGGATTCACTCATTTTCATTTCATCAGCTCATCTCTTAATATTATCTGTTAATCTTTTAAATTGTTTCACATTAATTAAATGAAAAACAATTGAACTAATTTGTGAAAAATTGAAATGAACAATTATGAGAATGAAATGATTAAGACGACTCTAGTTAATTGATATCATGAAATTGTGTTCAACTTGTTTCCATTGATTTACATTCATGTTGATGTAAACTCGATCAATCATATTTAGCAATATTTGATTAGAGTTAATTAAAAAATTAACAATCCATTAACTGGTTAAACGACAAAATTGAATGTTTAACAAATTAATGGCTCAAAATTGTCGGACAAAAACATGAAAGGTCAGCTTTTTGTTTTAGTGACAGCAAACTACTTATCAACTGCAAGTATTTGATGTCACGTAAAATTTAATTGCAATTTAATAATTGTACAGCCGAGGGTTCGATAAGATAATATTTCGTGCTTTTAACATCAAAATTTGAAACATTAATCTTCTTCTTCCAGTGCCATCTATTGATTCAAAAGAGAAGTAAATCAAATCAAATTGAGTAACCAAAGTAGCCATTGAATAACCGATCTTTGGTTACTCTATTTTTTTCTCTAACCAAATAACGGTTACCGATAACCATTACATCTTTACCTTAATCAGGTTTACCTCGTTGATAGAAATATTTTATATTAGTTTTTTTACCAAATTGGTATTTTTCACGATGTTAGCTTGAATGTCGATCTATTAAATGGTGTCAATGTCTTTTATTATCAATGGAAAAGTTTGCTTAAAAAGACGGAAATTAGGTTTAGTAGTTACAATTAGCAGATAAGATCTGGTTATTTCTGGTTCGGTTAATGGTTAGAGGGAGAGGAAAGTAACCAATGTTGGTTAGTTTGTGGTTACTAAATTTGAATGCATTTGACATTTTTGTCGATTTATATTTTGTTTAATGAATGTAATTTTATTTGAATTTAGTAATTGATGGGAAAATGTATTAATATTTACATTGAATTCATTTACACCAAAATAAATTATCAAAGACTGATCAATAATTCAAGGCAGAGAGTTTAAGCGCGCAGTTCAAAGATTAATATAATTGATGAAAATATGAAGATTTTGGTAAATTATTATTTCCAGTCGTTCCTTAGCCACTGAGTTTCAAAACGTTTGGTATTGCTAATACAATACTTAGGGTTATGGTGGCCAGTGATGTTATAAAATTGGGTGTAATCACAAACATGTTACCATAAGTGAAGCCAACATCACGCTTTGATAAACGATAGAGACAAAAGTCCAACTAGAATAAAAAAAATTAAAATTGAAATGAATTTTGATCTAGACAAGTGATAAATTGTCACTTACTTGCTGTCTGAATGAAAGATCATAAGAATGAAATGATATTTCATACAATTGTTCAAGAATGTTATTAGATTGTGTATTTACATGAATCAAGTTGAGTGTAAGATAACTCATTCCTACAAAACTAGTTGCACCAAACATGAGTTGCACAAATGAACCAGACTTGAATATTAACCTGGAGTAAACATGAAGGATGCTATAATATGCGTATTCAGTATAAAACCAGGTTACATAAACTCGTGCGAATCGATCAGCAGCTTTCATCAAATGTATACCGAGACTATAATGGTATCGATATATCTTCAATTCGTATTTCAATGAACTTCTGGGTTCATGACGAGTCAATGATACTTGGTGTAAATGGACAATTTGGCGATTTAAAAATCTAAAAACCGCTTGTAGGCAAATACAAAGCTCAATCATGATGGACAATATGTAAAGGGCAGAAATAATGTTATAAATTGCAAAGATTGAATAGAAATATTTGATGAAATAATCTCCAGATGGACCAAAAAATAAAGGTTTCAATGAAATGAACGATAAACTACAAAAGATAGCAAAAAATAAAATTGATTTCAATTTTCGACTTTTATCCATGAATCTAATTGAATCACAATCATTGTCGATACGTAAATTGGAAAGCAAGGAAATGAATTTGTTTAAAGATGACCATTCAAAGCCAAAAATTGCAACCAATGATCGTAAAGATGCAATCAAATCATTTTGACCAACGAATATTAAGCATTTTAAAGGTGAATCTGATTTTAAGCATACTTTAGTTGTGATAAACCAACTGAAAATTGCAGCAATCAATAAAATTACAAATAAAGATGTTACAATCCATCGAGTCAATTTAGGTCTGCCAAATAAGAAACCACTTTTAATACAAGATGGATCCATGATTTTGATCTGTAGTCAACACCAAGAGCAGACTTTTTGATTTACCCAAAAATGGGAATTCCTAGGTTATTGGGTTTTATCATTTCAGATTTGTGTAGCCATTGGATTCCAAATTATATTATTAAATTGTTAAAAGATAGATTGTATCAAAAGAAATGATTTTTCAAATAGTCAAATCTTTTGTCAATGATATGAATCATTGTTAAGGTTCAATGTTTGACCAGTTAAACCTTTAACTTTAATGTTTCAAATCGATATATCTGAGGATACATCTGATATGCAATGCTACATGGGGAGAGGAACAAAACATTTGTTGCCTGATTGTTCATTCTGTTCAGGGTTAATTTACACAATAAACAAAATCGTCACTAATTTTCTCTGTCGATAAGTTTCTTTTCAATTTGACGAGAGTCAATTTCTCGTGCCATGTTGAGGAGAAGGTCTGTGCACCGAGATCGTGATATCCGAGCCTCTGAGCTTCGGATCTGGGGAATGAAGTTAAGGCACATTCATGACCAAAGCAAGTGAATTCAAAAGCTAAATTAGCTTCAAGTGAAAGTCAATCAACGGATTATTGTGCCATCACATCACAACACTACTTGTTAATGATTGAAAATGATAACAATTAATCATCTAAACAAGTAAACTTCAATTATCCGATACAATATTTTATTAATGCAATGACCCTGAAAGAGGCTGTGTCGTAGGTTAATACGTAATACATTGTTGGATAAACAAATGGCGCAAAATGACTCTTTGAAATAATCAAGTTTATCTTGCTTTGCCTCTTTCCGTTTTATTAGTTAATAGTTGAAGTAAATTGTGATCGTTTATTGTCTTATTATGCTTATTATTGAATGGATTCACTCATTTATTTGTTTTAATGTTCATCCTGGTTAATCTAATCTTTCAATTTCTTTTCTTTTCTCTCACCATGTACTTTATAACTGTTGCTGACTCTTGGGTTTTGCCTGTTGTCATGTAGGAAGGAAATCATGTCAAGCTTTAAGGAAAGCTTGCCTGATAAAAGTGGACATTTCAATTTCCATCATCCACCACCTGATTACCATCATCTTGCTTCACATCCAAGGGAAAATATATTTGATCGTTCTGGCGGTCCCTTTCCAAGAGACTTGCATTTACAGGCTCCATTTCCACCACCAGGACCACCTATACCTTCCTCTATTTTGATGTCTCCTCACGAATCTGGATCAAGTTATGGGAAGCCAGACGGAAATCTGAAAAGAAGTCAACGATCTCACGGAACTCACCATGAACCAGAGATTGGACAAACCAGTAAAAGTAATTCATGGAATTTCAATACCAACCAAGGTTTCTACTATCGGGTGCATAATGTAGATGGAAAAAAGCATGAAGAACGAGGTTCTTATGGGGATGGACATCAATCAGGTCCTTGGGTTGATCAAGGAAGATCTTTGGTTCGAGAGATTAATCCTATTAATGGCTTCGATAGTCATTCAAATGGACCTTTTCCAGATAATTTCATCTTCCCATCTCAACATCAGCATCAACATCCCCATCCCCATCAACAGCACCACCACCAACATCAGCATCAACCCCCTCATCAAGATCAACATGCTCCAATCTGGTTTCAACCAGGATTCAACAATAACAACTTTAACCAACAGCACCACGAACCAAGACACAATAATAATGGACCTGGATTAAACAATAGAAATCATTTCGAACCCAATAACAACCATCAAAATCAACAGCATCATCCTTCTCCTCCACCTCATGAAATTCGTAATAATCATCGACCCAATAATTTCTAATGACATGTAGCAACATTCAAATTTAATTTACCAATAAAACAGATTCATTATGGAAATGAATTACAGTTAGTCCCGCAATAATCACAGCGTAAAGATTACAATTTGCAAGTTTCTGAATGTCAATAACAACTACATATCAGAATGAAACACTGAGTCAGATTCAACAGAGTTCAATCACCAACAACTTTACGCCATCAACTATCAATCTAGAAATCTCTACAATAATTGAAACAATCTTCACTTAATTCAAGAAGAATCCTAAATAACAGCAATTAATTCATCAATAATGATGTAACAATAACTTAGATTGTACTCATTACTCTTAATGAGCTCACACAGATACTTTTAAACGATACTTTAAGTATCGATAAACATTAGATTACATTTTGTATTTCACTTTCAATTTGACCGCTTTCAATCAAATTTGAAACATAAACTCAGTCAATTCAAATATTGGTAACTTGATATTTTTTAATTTATGTACAATTTTTACCTAAAATACGTTGATCATAACAGCGACCTAATAAAAATATCGCTTTTTTATTAAAAAAAAAGTTTCTTTGCTTTTTACTCGAACAGTTGCAACGCCATCTGTTGAGGAAACTTTGATCATTTTCCCACTTTGGCGCAACTGCAAGTTTCCTCCAATTTGTTTGCTCAATTTAATCAAAGCCGCATTTTAACTCAACAACTGTGGCGACTCAGTTTTTAGTGCAACTCAATGTGATCAGTATTTAACAAATTTAGTTCCAATGAGTAACTGGTTTCATGACTAACCTGTGTATATTACTGATAGAGTTTAAACTGATTAGCCATGTAAAGGTTGAAATCACATTAACTGTTTACTTTTGTGTGTTTGTGCAACTTGACTTTTGGACTCTTTGTAACTTAATGGCTTTAAACGGACCCTCAACACCCATCATTGCATCATGTTATGGATGTGGACTTTCCTTGGCAACCTCACCGTTAATCGCCTTAATATCGGGTCATCATCATCAATGGCACACTGATTGTCTCAGGTAAATATACCAAAGTGTTTAAATGGACAGTTTGAAACTGGTTTTGCTTTTTACAAACCATTTACATTTTGACTCTTCAACATGTTAGATGCTCCGAGTGTGAAGAATCTCTGAGCACTGAACGATCCTGTTATCTTAAAAATGGGCGAATCTATTGTAAAAAAGATTACCTCAATTTAGTCCGAGCTAATGTCAAGTGTTCAAAATGTTTTAGGATAATCTCACCAAATGATTGGGTAAGTGATCTTGGACTCTATCACAGTTTGCGATAGCACATATGATAAAATGATTTAATGATAAACACACAGACAATTGAAACTGAAAGCAACTAAAATCAAATAGTGAGGTTAAAAGTTTTGCAAGAAAAAGTTATCTTATGAATTCAATTCTTAACGTTTAACATTAATATGTATGTCATCGTAAACTGGGAATGTACCATTTCATGAATCGCAATATTCTGAACTTTTTGTTTCTTTTCTTGCTTAAGGTTCGTCGAGCTGGATCTCATGTGTACCATTTAGCTTGTTTTGCTTGTGATTTGTGTCAACGACAGATGAGCACTGGTGAACAGTTCACAATTGATAATGCAACAGAGGATATGAAATTACTGTGTAAACTTCATTTTGGTATAACGACGACTAGTGAAGGTAATAAATGTGCCCGTTAACCAGTATTTATCAAGTGTTGTTTTTTGTGAAAAACAATTTAAAAGAGTAAATGCAAAAGTAACTTTCGAGTTAAGATCAGGGACTTTGTGAGTTAGGAACATTAAAACTGAGTCCATTTGCGAAATTTTTGTGATCAGTAGTTTTCGATAAAATCGAGTTCAAAGTTAAAACTTCGAACGCCTTTAGTTTTGGAGCCGAGAATAAAATTTCCTTTTTCTGTACAAGAGGTCACTTCGATTTACGGTAAAGTTATTAGCGAGGATCATAGACGGTAAACTTATGAGTGAACACGGACGATCGAAAACTTTTTTCGATTCATCAAAAGTTTTCGTTATTTTGATGAATGGCCTTGAAAATTTTTGGCCTAATATTATAAAAATCGTAACGCTTACAATCACCATTCTTTCAATAATTATTATCAGCTTCCTCGGACCATTATCTGTTTTCACATTTGAAAAGATACACTAGGGGCAAAAGATATGACCCAATAGATTCACTGAAGATCGCTGTCGAGGTGAATGGTTATTCATTTTCATCATTCTTGTGGTGCAAAAAGATAACTGTTAACTCACTGGTAAATGTTAATCCATTTGCATCCAGTTGTGCTTTATTGTAGCCCATAGTGAAATATAATTTTTGAAAGAATGATGATTGAAAGTGTTTTTATTCTTGAAATATTAGGCCACAAATCACGAAAACTTTTGATAAATCGAAAAAAGTTATCGATAATCCATGTTCACCGACGAGTTTTATCGGTAAAAATGGGTTTTAGCTCAAATAAAATAGCTCAATGCCTCAGTCAACTTTCGTTTTATTGGAGATCTTGAATGAATCCCGAAAACAGCTCTAAAAAGATTAAGTTTCCATTCCTAAATCAAATCCCTGAAACCCCAATTTTCTTTTTGCAAAATCCCTGGACTTTCTGTCATTGAAATTCTTGGCGTTTAAATTGAGATAATAAATTCATTAAGAACAGATAATGGACTAGTTTATAAGCTTTCAATAATTTTGGGTTAGTTTTGACCGAAAAGGCCTTTCGAAGAATGTGTCGCCAAAATTTTTCAGTTCATCTCACTGGAGCTCAGCAATTTTTTAAGCTGACATTTTGAGTCATTTTAGCGACTTGTCAACCGGAGCATGGTTTGCTTGAACTTAAAATACTAGTTTTTTGTTAATGTTTAATACATATTATTATCGTATTATTCATTTGATCAAGCAATTCTGAATACTTAAAATTAGTTGTATTTGAGTCGACAAGACAAGACATAATGACAAGAGCATTAAATTTTCGTTGATTTGAGTTATAGAATCATTTATTCGAAGAAACTTAAAATAGTTGGAATTCGTTTCTGAACTTGTCTAATTTTTTAGTGGTCACTTCTCATGATTTTAATGAGAGCACATTGCAAAACGCTCCACTCAAATTACAATTAGCAACGTCAATAACATCAACAATTGCAATTTGAATTGATAGTCCGATCTGAAGGTAATTGCTTTGAAAGTGTATAAAACTAATCAATTGGACTTAAAGTTTTCTGCTAATAAGGTTATGACTGGTAAAGAATGGAGATAAATGCTTTGAATTTGCGCGGCGATTCACAGTCTAGATCTAGTACCAAATCGGACATTTTTTATCGGAAATTTAATGAGCTTCAAATTGTAATAATTTTTGGGTTAGTTTCACTTTGTGATTCAATTAAAATGTTGCTAAGTTTAAGTTATCGTCGAAATCTCAAAGTTAATTTTGCTAGTGATCATCCCGAATTAAGTACTTATGAGTACAGTAAGCAACTGAGGGCTCCTGAAATCAAATTAGGTACAGTCTATTGAATTGGTAGAAGAGTTAGGAATAAAGAAAATATAACAAATCATGGGAATTGTTGCCGAAAACCGACCAAAATGACGGAGCGCAAATTTGCCCGTTTCAAAAAATTGCTGAAGGTTGGAATGGTTCACAAAGAGAACTGACCTCAAAACTCGACATTTCCCTCATCTATAGTCAAGAATTATAAAATCGGTATAAAATCCTGGGAGCGCCCAAATCAACCCTGGACTAAATTTATCCATTTCCATTCTTTACCAGTCATAACTTATTAGCAATGTAAGAATATTAAATTGATTCAGAAAATCAAATCAAACGTTTCGAGTTTTTTGTACTAACACACATTATTAAAATTTGGATAATTTTTGTTTAATTGTCAATGTTAATGTAACAATCGTTTCAGATAACATTTAAATTTACTCTTCACAATGACCTTTCTTTCATCTATTTCCAAGTTGCTAAAAATATCGATGAATTTCTTAATAAGTTCATCTTTTTCTCATTTCTATCCAGGAGATTCTCATGACAGTAGTAGCAATGATTCCCTATCAAGTTCAACCCCAAAACCAAGTAAAACCAAAAGAGTACGAACAACGTTCACCGAGGAACAACTGCAAATACTTCAAGCAAATTTTCAGGTAAATTCACCTTTTCACTTTCATTCCACAAACATTTCAGATTTCAAAACTCAACTCGACTTGAAAAACATGATCAACTTCGAATTCCAAACTTTCTCGAAAAGAGCATTCTGTTCTTAAACATCAAAATCGAGTTTTTATCTTATTTCATTCACTCACATTCAAAGTTGACCATCAAAAAATGCTTTCATATCATAAGTGCGACCAGTGTTTTGTTTTAAAAGATTTGTCTCAAGATTTGATTTAGATTGAACAATCCATTGAATCGCATCCAAAGTAAAATCATGTTTTTTCATTTAAAAGGCAAAATCAAAAGGAAGAGGAAAACAAGTTGAAAGAGCGTAAAGATGAATACAGTTTTATTACCTCTTTAACATGATCATCCAGCATCATCTTTCATCTTTCATCATCACTTTCTTTTTCCTCTTCATCTTCCAATTTATACATTATTTGATAAAAATTTTTCCTTCTCTTCATTTCTCCTTCTTTCTTCAACCTTAAAATTGAATGTATTATATGAACATGAAAAATAGGATTATAACAGTCTAAGGAATAGAAGAATAGGAGTAAAAAGGCAAAAGTGTATCATTTAATCAAATTATCTTCCATCATCTTCTTCATCAGAGAGACACACAAATCTAGTAAACTAGTGATGCTCTCACTCAACCATCCCTCATCACTTTATCTTCATCTTCCTCTTCATCCTTTTCAACCTTGCAAACACAGCAAAAGTACCTCAGCAATTGAATGAAAAAATTTTTCTCGATTTTATTTTTTCTCTTCTTCTTCTCCTTTTTTTCATTGACTTCAAAATGGTACCTACACACAATCATTTGCTTAGTTTAGTAGAAGATTTTATTATGTTACAGATGATGATGAGAGGATGAAAAGAAGAGGCAGAAAAGGAGAAACCATGAGATGTATAACAATCAGTTTTGACAAAACCACACTTTCTAGCCGCAAGCATATTAATTGTAATGTTGTAATGTTGGACCCACAAAACCATGAATCTATAGACGCAAGGTTTGATTGCTTGTTGAGGTGAAAATGAAAAGACAGAAGACGATGATGGAAATGATGAAGATGAAGAAGTGGATGAAGAATAACTTGGGAAGTGATTTTTCTTCTTCTTCTTCTATTCATCATTTTTAGTCTTTTTACCATTAGTATTTCAATGGTAAACTCAATCTTTTCTCACTTTTTCTTCTTGCCGTTACATTTCAATTGAAACAACTTTAACATCAAACTAAACACACACTCAACCATTATTGTATTACAATTGGTCAACAATACAGTTTTGTCAAATGACGATATATAGTCAATGTTTAAATATATATTTTTTTCCTTCATTGATAGGTACTTTCATGTTGTGTGTGTGTATCCATGAAAGCTTGTTGACATTTGTAGGGACAAAAAAAAGAGAGGAACCACAAAAAGTGAACTTACACAGTGGTTTTGTTGTCGTCTAATTCAATTGTCAAGCGTTAAGGTTCAACCTTTGTAGGTTGAGGTGTGAGGTTGGTTGGGTTGCCTTTAAAATGCATTTCCATCTCAACACGGGCCGAGGGTTGAATAATGAAAGAGGCTAAAAGTTATTACAAGGCAAAGGGAAAAAGGTTAACCTTTCAACACTATTCAAGACACTTTTACCAACTACTTTGCTCCTTTCATAATTTTCATCCATAAATGTCTATTCATATTTGATTAAAAGCAACATTTATTGCTTTACTGTAAATTGTGTCACACTTGGACTGTCAATGTGATCACAATATTTTGGCCTTTTCCGATGACTCTAAGAGTCGACATCTTTTTTACGTTTATTATTATTGCCATCAATATATTTAAATGACTTTTTTATTGAGACAAATCTTCTTTGGTAAAATATTCGTTTTGGTCTTTTCGATGAAATTGGGTTTTCGATCATTTTTTTATCGTTTTTTTGGCCTTATTAAAGTTTACATTTTTATTGTTTGCAGATTGACTCTAATCCAGACGGACAAGATCTTGAAAGGATAGCAACTTTAACTGGACTCTCTAAGCGTGTAACTCAAGTTTGGTTTCAAAACTCTCGAGCTCGACAAAAGAAGCATCTTAACCGTTCTCGAGGTCCAGAAACGGGTCCAACAAGTGGACTTACAGGCTGTGGCCTTGGCAGTGGTACTTCAGGGTCTTCATGGGGCAATCCAGGAGAAGTGACCAACTCTAATCAGTCTTGGTCGCTATCTAATAATCTTTGCTCCGATGGCAACTCCAATTGACTCTTGATCTCAACTTGACAAAATTGCTTCTCATTTCCTTTTCCTTTACATTCACCAACAATTTTAAAAACTCGCAACATTCAAATGAAATCACAAGAAAATGGTGATGCTCATCACAAAGCCACCAAATCATTCCAAGTCACTTGGACATTACCAAAGAGAGATTCATCATCATCATCATTACCATTCATTTGTTCATTAACCATCTTCTTGTCCATCAAGTAAGACCATATCAATCTCTTTTTCTTTGTACATAAACGCAACTCGACAAAACACTCGACACTCAATGATAATTTATCAATGGAAAAATTCCAGCTTCTTTTGAGTTTCAAGTTTATTCTGGTTAACAAAGTACAGCCAAATAAGGTACCAAGCCAAGTATCAACTTAGCTATTAACTGTTGCCGTTTAATCTAATTACGTTTAATTTGATTCTTTTACCCAGAATAATGAGACTGAAAATTTACAGCAAACCTCAATCAAATTGATCCTCAAAGGATTGTGTACAAAAAATGAAGCATTTTTTTCACAACTTACCTTTACTCTCATTGTGTGTAATAATTAACTAACAATACTCAATTGTTTTGACTCTTTCATGCTTCTAATCATTTACCTGATGATCGATAATCATCGACTGTAATATATTTTAAAATCGTGTTCAAATCTCAGTGTTAACAAACCAAAATATGTACAAAATTAAATGACGAAAAGAGGTAAAAAGATGAAAAAAAATAAAGCAAAATTTTGAATAAAATGTTGACAATTGTTTTTACTTTTAATACGCAAAACAATTTATAAATAGTAGCTTTGATCAACAATAATTGTTGAGTTGCACAAATAGCTTTGGAAACAAAAATATTGTTTGACGATGCAGTTTCAGTTAATAATAAGCTTAACCTTATTTAGTTTGCAAAACGGGAAGTTGTTGATCAAGCATATTGATCTTTCACACTGTCAATCTCATCATATTATCTCACCATGATATTCAGTGATAATGTATGATTATCATCAGTTGGAAGGAGAGAAGATGAGAAAAGATTGAAAAGATTGAAAAGAAAGATGAAGAAGAGACAAAAATTTTGGCCAAATTTTCTGTTCAACATTTTGCTTCTCGTCTTCATTTTGCTTTTTTGTCTTTACTCTTTAATTGCAAAATGTGAACAAGTTTTTACAATGAAACAAAGTATTTCATCGATAGTCTCAACAATATCATCACAACCACCATTCAATAATTGTTTAATTGATTGTAATCAAGTTGACCATTTGTATCAACCAAGTGATCCTCAAGGCGACCCCAAGCAAGAGTCAAGTCTCATCCCATTAGGTGAGACTAATGCCCATCAAATAGTTGAACCTCAGCCTGTTGCCAGTCAAGGAAATGGTTTGATCGAGTCAAGTGACTCCAACAGTGTCAAGGGAAGAGTGTCAAGAGCATCATCTTCACCTTCATCAAAGTCAACATCTTCATCAGGACGGCGAAGTCGGACCAACTTTACTTCAAATCAAATTGCAACAATGGAAAGTGTCTTTTACAATTCAACTCATTACCCTGATGTAAAATGCTTGACTGAACTTTCAATGAAATTAGGTTTACCTGTGAATAAAATTCAAATCTGGTTTCAAAATAGGAGAGCCAAATTCAGGCGCAATTCAAAATGATAAAGAAAAGAGAAAAATCTAAATTGTTTGACTTTACCATCTTCATCATCTCTGTCATCATCATCTTCTTCTTCTTCTCCATCTTTACCCATCTTTACCATGTTTATCATCTTCATCTTGTTCTTTCTGAGAAACAAAAAGTTCAGAAATAATTTTGTTTTATTATTTAGTTGAATAAACGATATAATCAGATTAATTTTGTTTACTCCAGAAAAAAAGTAAACTTGAAATACTGTTGATAATAATAACGATGAGCATGATGATTGGCAATGAGAAAAGGAAACTCACGTGAAAGATGAAGATAAACTTTATGACAATATTTACTCTGAATACAGTGAAGATGAAGGAAGATGAAGATGAAGGCGTGTAAAGAGTCTGCTTAACATTAGCCAATGAAAAGGCTTGCAACCTATAGTTTATTGAAGATGAAGGCAAGATGAAAGAAGAGGAAACAGAATCAAAATTCTGGATCAAATTATTCTGGATAAATATGATTCTTGTCCCTGCAACATTATGATAACCTTTTTTACTCCAACATATCAAAAAAACAAGTTCAATTTATTAAGATTATTAGAAGAAATAAACTTTTTTTTCCAGCCTTTTTCATCCTTCAATTCATTTACATGTGAATAATAATTGATTCATTAACAGAATCAAATGTTGATGCTAATAAACCTGAAAAAAAACATTTTCTGGGAGTAACTTTCATTTTGTTTATCAATTTTTTCTGCATTTTTTTTCCTTCTCTTGTCAGGAAACTCAACTGATTAACGGATGTTTTACCATGTATTATTGAACTCTATTGTTATTCATTAAACTGTTAATTGTATCAACAATTATTAAGAAGTGAGAAGAAAAAGGAAAAACAAAAACAGGAAAAGTTGAAGATTGATTTTGATGGCGATTAATGAAACTTGAGAATGAATTACATGGTAAAAGATTGAATGAGATGGTGAAAAGGGTGAAGATGGTGAAGATGATGGAAATGGTGAAGAGAGGAAAGAAAGCAAAGAGTAAATCAAATTCCGAGAGAAAACAATTTTGCTGAAAAAAAAGGTTAAAACATGATTGGAATGAATAATTGAAGGTAAAATTTTCCCTCCCAACTTGATATCCTCTCTATATGTATAAATGTCTATATCTATATATTATTCCTGTTCATCATCCTCTTATCTAAAGGCGTATCTTCATCTTCCCCATGTTACCATCCCAGTAAACTAACCTTGAGGCTTGATTCAAGTTTCATGATCATTTACAGATCTATAACAATTGATGAAAATCCATGGAAATCAAATGAAACAATTTGTTCAGATTAAATAAACCTCTTTTTTACCTTTTTTCAGGATTTGTGGCTTGTAAATGTTACTTTAGTGGCATCTTTTTCAATCAACCTTTCATGCTGACAGACAAATTAAAGGTTACAGACTTGGCCTTTGCAAAGGTTAAGGGTGACAAAGCATTCAAAGTCCATTTTGTATTTAATTTTTGCTTCTTTATTTGATTGTAAATGGTAAAAATTGTTCAACTTTCAACGTCTTTTCACTTCTCATTATTTAACTATTATGAGTGTTATGTAAAGGATCAATTTTCAATGTTGTACAATTGATGATAATTATAGTTAACATGGTGGTTTATTAATACAATTTTCAATGGGTTTTTGTCCATGAATTTGGATTTAGTGGTGAAGAAGGAAAGATTGACTTTCTTTTTACTTTCTATGATCCTCTTGCATCTTCATCTTCGTCCTTTTTTTTCCTTCTTCCTGACTTGGCAAAATAAAAGGTAAAATTTGTATTCAATTGAGTTTTGATTGATGATGCAGGTTTTGTGTGTATTAAATGTTCATACACATGAAAAGGTAAATGACCAATGGTTGACATTTAAATAAAAGATGATGATGACCATGTTGACAAAGAGTAAACCATTTGAAATTAAAGGAGGAGAAGAGGGTTGAAGAATGAACAAGATGAAGATGAAACTTGAAGAGAAACCATTGTTGCCTGGTTTTAAGGGTTTCGCCTTAAATAAGGTCAACATTTAAGTGACCATAAGAAACTGCTTTTTTCTTAAAATTGTATTAACACCAATGGAGAGGTTGACATTTAAACACACACACACACACAAAACAACTAAAACCGTACTTCCTGTGTGTTCACCATCTTCCTTGTATTCCTCGTCCTTTTCTTGGTCTACCTCTTGAAACATAATTGTCACCATTTTGTTGATTTGCTTGTCAGGACAAAATTAATATACCCAAAGGTCACCAGGCTTGGAAAACATGCATTATTATTAGAGAATCACGTATAAGCTGTCCGTTTTGGTTCCTTTAAGTGTCCAATTTTAGATATATCCTCCAGAGTTTCATCACCTTATTTGAGGAAATAGAAACATTGACATCATTGTTGGATTCATCTTTTACCTCGACTCTTTTGTTCCTTTCCAATCGCCTTGATCTGTAAATAACATGAGAAAAAAAGTGTTAATTTGTTAATCTGCTTTTCGTTTTGTTTGATTTTAGGCTTACATCTTTTTTTTCAGGGCTTTTCCTTTCCTTGCCAATTTTGTTATTTAAATTGGTTTGCTTGGGTTGTTGGTAATCGGAAGTATATCTCAATTGATCAGCATTATTGTCTCAGTATTGAGTGCTCATTTGTCTGATTATCCGTAAATTATATTAACACCATTATAATTTACCTTCAATGGTTGATGGATAAGGTAAGTCTTTGGCCTTCCTTTGCCTGATTTGGCTAACGTATTTCCAGGTTTAATTCATGTTGTACATCTTGTTGAGTTGTTTCTTTAGACACTTTTATTTGATTAGGAAATTATGATGAATTGGAACACAATTGGGTTCAGAGGGATGATCAAGTTAATATATTATTTCATCTGCTCCACTGATTTGACTGAAGCAAAAAAAGAGTTGCTCTATCAGCCAGTAAAAAATGACTCTGTACAAGGTCAGTTTGCTTTTCCTTTTCAACATTTTGTTGGTTTTTTTCGTTTGCTTCTGTTGATCCACTCCAATGATACAAGTGTCTGGTAAACGTGTGACAAAATGAACAAGTGATATAATGATCATGATGAACAGGTGCATGGTGACTTTACAGTTACCAGAAAAATGTTAACATTCCCAAAGTTACTTATAAAAAGTCTGTGAATTCAAAGGAAGGTTGAAACGCAAGATTCACTTGGAAACTCAGTTTTATAGGGTTCATATGGTTCCAAATTTTAAGTATGTATCATCAGTATATAGGGTTTATCATCATGTTATCATGTTATGATAAGATGATGAAAAGGAAAAGAAGCAATGATTCCATTGGCAAAAAAGTGAGTTGAAGAAAGGTGAATATTTTGGAGATTTGGTTAGCTTTGTTTCCATCCTCTTCTTTCGCATCTATGTTTATAACACATTGATTGAACCATTTTCGATGAAATAATCAATAAATCTGCTACTCATGGAGGTAAACTATCAATAAAGCTTGTCGGTATTTTAGTCCAAAAAGGTGTCCAGGCTTTTGAAAAGCAACAGCAAGTTAATACAATTATGGAGGATTAACACTTTACCAGTAACCTTTCCTTGTATACATAAGTTAGGTCAGACGAGAAGATGAAAGTGTATTTATAAATTTTGATACCTTAATTGGCTTAAAGTAAGATGATGATATTGTAAATGATGGAGTGAATGTTGAAGGATAACCGTAGGATAAAAAGTGTATAAAGATTGTAATCACAAATTATAAGTAATCAAGTAAACCAATTTAATAAAATAATCCAGTTAGACGGTGTTGCTAACGAAAGTCCCTCCCTCTGTTGTTTGAAATATTGTTAAACCTGTGTTTGCATTCAAATTTACATTGATTACATTCATGTTTAATGTTAATATTTTATTATACTTACACACTTTTTATTTATTTATTTTCCTACTATGTACGTTTATAAACCAGATTAAATCAGTGAAGCAAATAAAACGGAATCAGTTGAGCAGATATAATCAGAAACATGGTGATAATACATTTTGTATTGCTCCTGGTATTACAGCTATTATTGTCAATATGTGATGTTTATTAAGCTTTCATCTTCTTTCACCATCAGCTTTTTTTATTGTTTTTCCCCTTTTCTTTAGCTCAAATCAACGAAAATTTAATGCTCTTGTCGATTAAAATACAACTTTTAAATATTCAAAATTGCTTGATTAACTATTTTAAACATTAACAAAAAATCAATATTTAAAGTTCGAGAAACCAAGCTCAGAAAAAGTACAGAAAAAGAAAATTTTATTTCCCGAAATAAGTGTATTTTATGATTGTTCATTGAAAGTTTTACCATAGAAAGGAGTTTGATGAAAAAATCTGGCTCCAAAACTGTGTAAGAGTCGTTCGAAATTTCCACTTTGAACTTGATTTGGTCAAAAACTACTGATCACAAAAATTTTGCAAATGTTCGCACAGTTTTGATGTTCCTAACCCACAAAGTCCCTGCTCTTAACTCAAAAGTCACTTTTGCATTTAATCTTTTAAATTGTTTTTCACAAAAATTAACACTTGATAAATATTGGTTAACGGGCACATTTATTACCTTCACTAGTCGTCGTTATACCAAAATGAAGTTTACACAGTAATTTCATATCCTCTGTTGCATTATCAATTGTGAACTGTTCACCAGTGCTCATCTGGCGTTGACACAAATCACAAGCAAAACAAGCTAAATGGTACACATGAGATCCAGCTCGACGAAGATTTTTAAGATAACAGGATCGTTCAGTGCTCAGAGATTCTTCACACTCGGAGCATCTAACATGGTGAAGAGTCAAAATGTAAATGGTTTGTAAAAAGGCAAAACCAGTATCAAACTATCCGTTTAAACACTTTGGTATATTTACCTGAGACAATCAGTGTGCCATTGATGATGATGACCCGATATTAAGGCGATTAACGGTGAGGTTGCCAAAGAAAGTCCACAGGGAAGTTCCATATTTCATCATATTTTCTTGTTTGTTCTGATGTTCAGATCTTTCGTTGACCTTTCCCAATAATATGAATACAGATTTTCAATTGGATTTAACACAGGTTAATGAAAAAATACTTGTTCATGGTTTTTCCGTTCAAATAATTGTTTGATGTAAATCGGTTTTGTGTAAGTTTACATTGTCCATTGCAATATATGCATTTGTAGATTGGTTTTGCTTAAAATGATCAAACAGTTGAGAAATGAAAATATCAAATTCTTGACCATTATAAGGTATATTTGATTTCACAAAAAGAACCAAAAATTTATGGCAATCAAAGACGAACAAAATTGAACACATCTTCAATAATATAATTTAGTTTTAATTAGCTTTGATATATTTTTCTGCTTGTGTGTAACAGCCAAGAAAACAAATGATAAACTGATGATTTTATCGTCTTTTGTGAAAAATAATTGTACTAATAAGAGTCAAGAGAAGCTGTGAAATGAATGAGAAGAGACAAGATTAGCTAATTGATTGAACTCATCTTAGGTAAAGACTTACTGTTGCAGATGATATTCCTACAATGAAAATACATGATTGTTGATATGTAAAGTGTTCAGCCAGTCGACCACCGATAATAGGCCCAAGAGCAACTCTAAAGGTAACATTTCCCTCGTTTATTAGTAATTATTAATATTATGAACATTTTCAATGGATGATGACTTTCAACTTTACCCTAATGCAAAAACAGATACAAATAGACTGCTCATCAATCCAGAGACATCAGGATCATCCTTAAGGCTGGTTAAACTATTGCCGCAACTGGGACTATAGAGAATTGGTTTTGTTGTGGAAATTTTATTCATTTATTTATTACAATCAAAATAAAAATTAACTATCTCATAATAGATATAACACCATTCACCACCGGATGAAAATCGGGATCACTATAGTTTTCTTTAGGCTAAGATGGTCAGGATGAACACTGTTCACCAAGTTGTTCACTGGATAGTCAAGTTGCTGATCCTTAAGGTCACAGATTATGATTTAGGTGATGAACTGAGAATAGATGGGTCCTAGATGGAGAGTTAGTAGATGGATGATCTGTGTCCTTATAGTTACACGACCACAATTTTGATACAGTTGTATATTGATGTAGCGTTGTGAATACGGTTAAACTAGTCACTTGTAAATATGTAAATACAATAGTTGTTTTACCCACCGTTAATAATTTCACTAGTCACAAAACACCTTTGAATAACTTCATTTTAGAGTACATATAGTCAATTAGAATTTACTAATATGGTGAAAATGTAAGAGGTGAAATTCACAACATCAAATAGTATTTTACTTATATCGATTACTGGTTGACCAGGGCTTCCGCGGGTGGCTAGATACGCGCTCAAACAAAGAAATGGTCGGCCATTTTATGCTGGATGAGGGAGAAAATCTTCTCCCGTTTAAAATGGCCGACCTCCAAATTTCAACCAATTATGGCCTTTCCCTACCTACTTGAGGTAGGGAAAGGTAGCACCAAACCAACCTGGTTAAAACCAGTTTTTTGTTACAGTTGACCGGGGCACCAAAAGAACGTCCTCGTTCTGAAAAAATACAACTAAAATATGGATTAGTAATAATATGAAATAAAGTGTTGGATAATATGGATGCTATTGGATATCACCAATCATTGATTGATAAATTTGAGTTGACCATTCGTCTTATGGTCTCTGATGTCGGAACGTAATTTATATAATCTGCTAGTTTTAAATACTCCATGTATCCTCTAAGAGTAACTCGGGCATCTCTTTCTGGAGAATGTCCAGCGATTGTATTTGTTGGATCATCGCGTTTCAGTTTAGGATTCTCGGGGAAGAAGAATTTGTCAACATAATTTAACCCTAACGGTTGCTGACCAGGCCATAATGATTGTAAATCAATCCAAGTAATATCGTTATCCATTAGGTGAGTCGGAGTAAATTTTAATAATCGTAAGTCGCCATCTCCTTGTGTAATTACTCTCTTTCCTCTTAATATGTTAAGGACGGTTGAACGGACTTGATGAAAAGGTAGACCTGTTGCTAAATCGATAGGTTGCAGTCCTGTGATTTTGGTATTTGAATAAAACGAATTTTCAGACTTAACTTCGGCATAATAAATTGTTTGAATTCTAATTATATTTCCGAACCATCCAGATATGTGAATATTACCAACACCTCCACTTCCATTTCCTTCCATGTCTAATGATAAAGTAGGCAAAGGTGGAGAACCAATTGGTTCTAATTTCTCTAGGATTCTCGAGTCATATTTTCCAGGTATCTTGTACCAAATATTTCCTGTAAATTCTCTTCTTAATTTGCGTCGAAATTGTCGTCTTTCTTCTCTGCGGGCGTTAACAGGTTTGATAACAGGTTGGATTTGTAGAGTGACTTGGCCAACTCTTTTAATTAGCTCTGGACAGTTTTTTCTAAGGTGTGTGTTTTTAGAGCAAAAGGAACAATTTTCACACTTAGTCTTATGGTGGTCTGGTTTAAAGCATAAACTGCAATGGAATAAGGGAATAGGAGTCAATGAAATCCATCGAGATCTTCCTGTTTTCTGCTTAATTCTTTTAGCTATCTCTTTGATTTCTTGAATCAAATAATTGTGCGCTCGATTTATTGCTCCTTTTGTATGTGCAGTTACGGTTAATTTAGTATATTGATGCATCTTGGGAGGTGTACCTGACATCTTACATCCTTCGATCTTTTTCTTAAAAACTCCATAACCATTAACAAAATTCCAAGCATAGCAAGACAGGATCAAATAATGTTGATACAGTAAGATGGGTTTTGTCTCTCTCTCTCCATCTGTGTACTTAGGATTTCTCCACCTCGGTTGATTTCTCTCCATCCTGTTAGATAAAAGAGAAGAAAAGAATATGATTAATTAGTCCCAATCACCGGGACTTTTTATTTTATGACCAATCTCTGGTCATTTTATACTTAACCCAATCACCGGGCGCTTAAACCTATTATATTTTTTTTTTTATGTTTTTTTTTTATACCCCAATCACCGGGTGTTTGTGTTATCATTTTTCAGCCCACTCACCGAGCTTTCATTTTTATCTTTTTATCTTTGCCATTTATCGAATTTAGTTAGTGTTTTTTTTTTGTAGCCCAATCACCGGGCAGTTTTTTGTCTTATTAGTTTTTTATGTTTTGTTTTTGAATTTTGTGTTTTTTTTTGTTTTTTATTCAATTTTATCATTTCCCATCACCATGATTATTTCCCAAAATTTATTTTAATAGCATTTATGTAAAGGTATTACTTCTGGTTGTCTTTTATCTTTTGTCTTATCTATTCTGTTGGTTCTGTTATCCCTCTCATCGTAAACTATTGAGTATACTGTTCGCTTTGGGGTGAACATAAAACGTACGCTAAGTGAACATAACAAGAAGCAAATGGTTACTAATAGTGAAATTGAAATCCATTTAACATAATCAAATTTCCAAGTAAGAGTGATTTTCTCGAAGCTAGAAAGTACTTTCTCGTGAGCTGCATCTAGGAGTTCAAATTCTAATGTTGGTATATTGATTTCTTGATAAGCTGGTTGAAACAGTTTTAAATTAATTGCTTGAGTATGTTCCGTTACTCTAGGACCTCTAACGTAAATGAAAAAATTGTTGGAAGTATACTTCATGTCATCAATGCTGAAATTGGTATATTTTGATAGTTTGATAACCTGATTCGGACATGAATAGGTACCTGAGTATATTTCAATTTTATGTCCTGCACAATGAATCAAATAATGATCACCCATATTTTTAACTTGGATTTTTTCAGCCACAATGGTTTCATTTACGTTTCTAGATACACAATGCTCATCTCTCCAGAGCTGTGTTTGATTGAACTTATTTGGGCAAGTTGACACTTTGGTGAAAATAGGGTTTGGTGACTTCAACTCACTTTCCTCAATTTCACAGAACTGGTATGTGGTGGTATTTACTAATAGGTATTCTGGTCCTTTGTATTTAATTTTACATGTATGTGTCGCATTGGTTTTATATAACAAAAATGGGTCCGCTTGAAAGATTTTTGTAACCTGGTCTTGCCTAAAGGTTGTGAAGTTCAAACTTAATATTGGATATCTATTTTCATTGTGAACTTTTACTGAAATTTTTTCAATCACTGATAGGTCACAATCGTCACACTGCAGATTTATTTTTAGAGACTTGAAGAAGTTACGATCTATTGTTGGTCTTGATTGTTTTATACTGTCATTGAATTTTTGCATCGTCATTAACTGAGTATTTGAACCAGTTATGACATCAGCTGCTTGAAAGGAAACAACCGGTATCAATTTTTTTATCATATCAATTTGTTGTTGTTGTTCATTTAGGAGTTTTGTAACGTTGACTAAATGGTCAAACTGTGTTTTCATCGCTTTCTTGTATTCTTCATCTTGTTTTGTAATGGCTTCCAACACGGGTTTAAAATCGATGTCAGGTGTCATGACACTTTTATACATGTATGTTACTCCTGTAAGTACCACACCGCCCACCACAATAGCTGTTGACCCAACAGCTATCGCAGTAAGAAGTTCTCTTTTTATTAACTGTGGAGATCTATCTTCCTTAGCTGTAATTTGTGGGATGAATCTAATCGGTTGAATATATTTTGTGTCAATAAATTCGGAGCAATACCCTTCTAGAGCATGTAAAGAAGTTCTCACGTATGGACATACGCGGTTATTTAAAGGACATCCGTATTTGGGGTTTGACTTATTCGTTATTTTTCCCCATTCGTCGCTGTCATAAGTTAGCATTTCTTTGCAAGGATTTGAGAAGGCTAAAATTATTCTTATTTCTTGTGTTGCTTTTCTAGGTTTGTGTTCTGTTTCTTTCCATAAGATTGTATCTCCAGTTATGAAAGGGTTGATTTGTCCAGCTACTAAACAAATTAGTCCCATTAAAAGTAGAAAGGACGTTGATAAGGAAGAGCGATAAGGTTTAATTTTTTCTACTCTATTAAAACTAGTTACCTTTTGTGAATTTTGTATTGGTCTATGGAAAGGTTTAAGTTGGCTTCCATGAGCCCTTTTTATTTTTCCCTTTTCTCCTAATGGTAGAATTTTGTAGGTTGTTTTCCCTAACTTTTCTATTATTTTGTATGGACCTGAGAATTTGGGAGTTAACTTCTTTGATCCCTGATAAATTCTATACATTACTTCTTCTCCTACATTGAAGTCTCTAAGTTTTTTCATATCGTGTTGAATCTTCTGGTTTTCTTTTGATTCTATTGAGTAAAGTCTGGCTTGATCTCGTAATTGAGGCCACTGTGAAATGGATTCTCTAACTGTTTTTGGTAAACTTTTGAATGTCTTTGTATTTAAAATAATGTCTATTGGTAGTACGGGTTGTCTTCCATACAACAAGTAAAAAGGGGAACTTTTAGTGGATTTATTCACGCTAGTGTTGTAAGCAAATCCCATCACCGGGATTAATCTTGCCCACTTTTTACGGTTTTCATTTTGACAATAGTGTGTTAACATTGTACAAACGGTTTGATTGGCTTTCTCAGTCAAACCATTGGTTGCTGGATGATAAGATGTTGAGAAGGACCATTTACTTCCCATAAAATTTTTGACTTCTCCAACAATAGAAGAGATAAAGTTTCTACCTTGATCACTCAGGATTGTTTTTGGACAACCATGACGAAGGAAGATCTTATTAACTAAAAATTCCGCAATTGTTTCAGCCATCAAATCACCGATAGCGTCTACTTCTATCCATCTAGTAAAGTAGTCTGTACAGACAACAATGTATTGCTGACCGTAAGACTTTGGCAACGGACCAACTAAGTCTATTCCAATTTTATCAAATGCATTATTAACAACGATAGATTGTAAAGGAGCTTCTAAAGTTCCACTTCCTCTTTTGTCTAACTGACAAGTAAAGCAGTTTTTTACATGGTTTGAAATGTCTTTAGTCATCTGTGGCCACCAATAAAATTGTTTAATTTTATTGTAAGTTGAAAACAACCCAGGATGACCAGAAATCATTGCATCGTGGTATTCTTCTAGAACTTTTGGAATTAGTTCTCTAGGGAGAACGACGTTCCAAGTTTCTCCATAATGATTTGTTGTTAGTCTGTATAAGGTTCCATTTTCTATTTTAAAACGATTCATTCGTTTTCGTTCCTTAGGGGCTAAATAAGCTAAGTTTTCCATCTGATTTAGTATTTTACTACATCTAGGGTCCTGTCGTTGTTTTGTAATCAAGTCGAAATTTTCTGCAGTAGTTTCCTCAACTAACATGGTAAATAATTCTTCGCATTCATCTTTGAGATTGTCTACAGGAATTTCTGCAATAGGATACCGTGAAAGGCAGTCTACATCTGCGTGCTTTTTCCCTGATTTGTAAGTAACAGTAAAGTCAAATGACTGTAAAGCCATCGCATAACGTTGTAATCTTGCGGGTAAATTCTTTTTTGAGTGAATGTGGCAAAGTGCACAATGGTCCGTTACTACCTCGAATTTAATTCCTTCTACATAGACTCTAAATTTTTGAACTGCCCATACAATAGCTAAACACTCTTTATCCGAGATCGGATAATTTAGTTCAGCTCCTCTAAGGATTCTGCTCGCAAAAGCGATTGGATGCCATCCATTATCACTTTTCTGTAAAAGAATCGCTCCTAAACCATAACCTGAAGCATCAACTCTTAGTTGAGTTTGTTTATTAGGGTCATAATGAGCAAGAACAGGAGGTGTTGTTAGTTTCGTTTTCAACTCATTGAAAGCGTTTTCCTGTGCAGGACCCCACTCAAAAGGTAAATCCTTTCGAGTTAAATTAGTAAGTGGTCTAGCAATCAAAGCGAAGTCTTTTATGAATCTTCGATAATAAGAACATAAAGCTACAAAAGATTTAATGTCCCTAACAGTTCGTGGAGTTGGAAATTGTTGGACCTTTTGGATCTTCTCAGGGTCTACTTCTTGTCCCTGTTCGCTAACAATATGTCCTAAGTAAAGTATTTTTTGCTTAAAGAAGGAGCATTTATTCGGTTTAAGAGTTAATCCTGCCCTAATTAATCGCCTGAAGATAGTTTCAAGTCGTTCTAAATGTTCTTCTTCATTTTTCGAGAAAATAAGTAGATCATCTATGAAAATCAAACAGGTGTTATAAATTAATCCTCCCAAAACAATACTCATCATTCTCATGAATGACGATGGTCCATTTGCTAGACCAAAGGGAAGTCTAGTATACTCATAAAGACCACTAGGTGTAACAAAAGCTGTTTTAGGTTGATCTGCTGGATCTAAGGCCATTTGATGGTAACCTGATCTTAAATCTAGCAGTGTGAAGTATTTCATTCCCTGAAGGCTATCTAAATAATCTTGAATGTTTGGTAAAGGGAACTTATCTTTAACTGTAATTTCATTCAATTTGCGGTAGTCTACACAAAGTCGAACTTCTTCGGTTCCCTTCTTAGCAACCAAAACAATTGGTGAAGCCCAAGGGGAACAAGAAGGAACAACGATGCCTTCATCGATTAACTCGTTTATTGATTTTTCTGCTATTTTCCGTTTTTCTTCTGACATTCTGTAAGGCTTTTGTGAAATTGGAGGATGCGAACCTGTGTTGATTTGATGAACGAAAACATTAGAAAACCCTAATTCTTTTGCAGTTGCTGCAAAAGCAGGTCTATATTTTTGAATTAGTTCTTCCAATTTTCTTCTAGTTTCTCTTTTTATTTCATTGTTAACTTCGAGTTTTAATTCCTTTATCATACTACTAACTACTAACTCTTTTACTGATGGTTTTGATTCACAAATGAGTGAAAAATTGTCCCCAAAATCACCGGGGTATGTGATGCTAGATCACTCATTCTAGTTGAAACTGTAGAATCATCTCTTTCAGCTAATAATTTGGCTAAAGCCTTTTCTAGTAATGTGATTTTTCTTGCTGGAGCTTGATTAATTACCAACTTAGCGTTTTCACAATCAATCCAGAATTTGCCTGTTTGTAAAACATCAAATCCAATTATTCCTTTGATGTTGCAAGGAAGTTGATTCAAAATGATTATTGGAGTTTTTATTTCCACTTCATTCAATGCATCATAAATAATAATGTTCTGGTAAGTTTCACCTAGAACATTCAAAGGAGCATTTCCTGCTGTTAAATTTGTTGGACCTTTATATTTTGAATAATCTAGTTCTAATTTATTAATTATTTCTTTAGTGAGGATTGTGATTTGTGATCCTGTGTCAACGAGGCACTCAACAGTTTTACCTTTTATTTTCATGTTTGCAAAAGTTAGATCTCTCTTGCGTTTATGGATTTTACTTATGATGGACAAAACTTGTCTTCTGACATCACCGTCATCATCATCTTCGTCTGAATATCCTCTATAAACTGCTTTTACTACTTTTGTTTTTCTTTCATTGGTAGGAGATTTAGATCTTGATTTAGATCTACGTCTAGCTCTGGGGCTAGGCGATCGATATCGTCTACGTGCTGTAGAAGTTGAAGGCGATTCTTCTCTTGAAGGTCGCATCGATCTTGGAGGAGATTTACTCAAATTTTTATCAGGTGTGTAACCCCTTCTTCGGTAGCTAGAAGAAGTCTGAGGTTGTTCTTCATAAGCTTGTTTTCGAGAATAATGTGGAGAACGCCACGATTCTCCAACATTGTTCTCCCTTGACCAACCAGCGCTTCTAGGTGCTACTGGTCTACTTGGGCAATCAGTTTTCTTATGCCCTACTCCATTACACTGGTAACAGTGTAAGCTTTGATTGAGGTTCATTGAGTTTTCGTCTGGAGTAAAATTTACTCTTTTGGGTTCAGTTTGTGTATATGGAGGTTGGTATCGAGGTTGATACCTGTTCTGATAAGGTTGGTTTGAATAAGAGTGGTTTGGATACGATTGGTTTGGATAACGTGGTTGATAGGTTGGTCGAGGCTGTGGGGCCTGATATTGATAGGTTGTTTGTCGATATCGATTATCGTTTCGACTGTAATCTCTTTCTCGTCTTCGAGATTCTAAATTCATTTGAATACATTCAAATTGTTCAGTTAGATTGGTTAACTGTTCGGTTAATGAACTGATTTGTTTATGTAGAGGGTGATCTTCACCACTATCCTCTAAGAATTTAATTTCTCCCACCGATCTCTCGGCATGGGACAATCTAGTGTCAAAATCTAAATCATTATTAGTTGATAATAAGTCCATTCGAGTCTTGACTGCTGGATTTAATCCTCTATGGATAAAACTATGAACTAAATTTTCATCCATTTTTGGATTTATTTTTCGACATAAGTCTCTAATATCGTAAGCATAAGCAAAAGCTGACTGACCAGGCTGTTGCCTTTTCTCATTTAGTTCCCTCATCAAACTATTTCTGTAATTGGAAGGGGCTAACCCTTTAACCATTTTTGCTTGCAATTTAGCAAACGTGTCAGGTTTCTCTTTGTCCTCAAGAGTTTTAATACAGCATCTATACCACTTTGCGGCGGTTCCAGTTAAATAAGCTGGAAGAGCTTTTAATTTTGTTTCATCATCCCATTCTAAGGCAGCAGCAGAAGCTTCGAATGACTCTAACCATTCAAGTAGATCTTCTCCTTCATCATCTCCAGAGAAGTTACTTATGTGAATAAATTGATTAACTGGTTGACGTTCTTTTGACTTTTTAGTCATAGTGCTTACTTTCGTTTCTTCGTTTGCTGACATCTTAATTTAATTTTATTTAAGCTGGCTGATGATAAACTGTGTACATATAGTAAATGTCGGCAAATATTTTGTAAATAAGTACTAAGATTGGTAAGCTTAAAATGATTAAAACTATTACATTAATACTTGATTCATTAATAGTAAAAGTTAAATGATTTTCTTCAGGTTCTGATTCTTCTAATGAGTTATAAGAATTCAATTGAATTTCATATATTTTGTCCTCCATACTAAAATTCCTACAAAAATCCAAAATACTAAAATGATGAAACAACAAAAAGTTTTACACATTTTACTTTTGTTCACTCATCACCGAGTGATAAATAATGCACCCAATCACCGGGTTTTCTAGTTTGATTCTAATGCAATAATGTTCATTAAGTAGTACAAAACTATGAATAATATACTTAAAGGTATAAATACTTGAATAACTATTTCGTTGTCAATGAAGAATATTATTGTAGTTGGGCTTATCATTAGTCTAGTTAACTAAATTCAATTTAATCTAAATTAATTATCAGTTAATTCAGTTTAATCATGAGTTAATCCAATTCAGTTTAATTATCAATTAATTCAATTTAATTATCAGTTGATTCAGTTTAATTATCAGTTAACTCAGTTTAATTATCAATTAATTCAATTCAATTATCAGTTTATTCAGTTAAATCATCGGTTAATTCAATTTAATTATCAGTTAATCAATTGATTCAGTTTATTATTACTTCAATTCAATTATCATTTAATTCAATTCAATTATCAGTTTATCATCGGTTAATTCAATTTAATTATCAGTTACTCAATTGATTCAGTTTATTATTAATTCAATTCAGTTTTAATCAGTTTAATTAGATAATTTAATCAAATTGATTCAGTTCAATAATTAGTTGATTCAATTCAATACTTAATTGATTCAGTTCAATTGAGTCATTAACTCAGCTTAATTCTTCCCTCTAGTTTAAATGGCCTAATCAATTGGCCAATCCAATTAATAATCAATTTGATTTATTTCATTTAATCGATTACAGTTAATCAATATTATTCAATGTAGTTAATCTATTGTAGTTAACTAATTATTAAATTCAACTCAACAAATAAATTCGATTTGATTTTTAGTGGTTGTTCCGTTTACTGTATTCCATTAATTCTGTTTCAGTAATCCAATTGTTCAGTTCACAAGATTCAATTCCTTTTAATCTACTTAATGGGCTGAGTTATTTGATTCATTGTAATGAATTAGTTCAGTTTAATTTATTAATTTACTTCAAAACAATAATAGCTTCAATTAGGTTTAGGTTAATCGTGGACTCATTTCAGATTAATCATGTGGGCAGTTTATTTAGTTGAGTATCTCAAGTTTGATTCAACTTCTAATATATTTAATTTGGTTTCAGGTCAAAGCATTAATTCAGCTCAGTATGAATATCCTGTTTATTTTAATTCAGGTGATTCAATGTAGTTACTTTTAAGTTAAGTTGAATTTACTTAATGTGATTAAGGATTGAGTTCATGAAGAACCATTATCTAACTTTAACTTAATTTGACCTCAATTCAACCCATGCACCGGGTTTTAGTTATCTGGTTCATGACAACAGGTTAATTTAGGTTAATGATTATCTTCAATATGTTCTAGGAATCAATAGATGGTTATTAGGTTTGGTAGTATTTCCTTTATCAACCTCGATAGTGGTTACCAATTGCTATTTAATTATTTTAATTTCATAATTTTTGAACTAAACTAAAATGTTACCAATATTATGAGTAGTGATAATTGCTTACTATTTACTACCCACTATTTGGTTTCAAACAAGTGAAATTTTGTTTTAAAATGATACTTAACTTTAGGACATGTAAGGTACAATTTCGATTTGTCCAATAAGGTTGGTTTACCAAGAGTTAGTGACCAAAGTCCATCCAGGAGAACTTACGAATTGAAGAATCCCCGCACGGGTGCCATTCCGCCGCAACTGGGACTATAGAGAATTGCTTTTGTTGTGGAAATTTTATTCATTTATTTATTACAATCAAAATAAAAATTAACTATCTCATAATAGATATAACACCATTCACCACCGGATGAAAATCGGGATCACTATAGTTTTCTTTAAGCTAAGATGGTCAGGATGAACACTGTTCACCAAGTTGTTCACTGGATAGTCAAGTTGCTGATCCTTAAGGTCACAGATTATGATTTAGGTGATGAACTGAGAATAGATGGGTCCTAGATGGAGAGTTAGTAGATGGATGATCTGTGTCCTTATAGTTACACGACCACAATTTTGATACAGTTGTATATTGATGTAGCGTTGTGAATACGGTTAAACTAGTCACTTGTAAATATGTAAATACAATAGTTGTTTTACCCACCGTTAATAATTTCACTAGTCACAAAACACCTTTGAATAACTTCATTTTAGAGTACATATAGTCAATTAGAATTTACTAATATGGTGAAAATGTAAGAGGTGAAATTCACAACATCAAATAGTATTTTACTTATATCGATTACTGGTTGACCAGGGCTTCCGCGGGTGGCTAGATACGCGCTCAAACAAAGAAATGGTCGGCCATTTTATGCTGGATGAGGGAGAAAATCTTCTCCCGTTTAAAATGGCCGACCTCCAAATTTCAACCAATTATGGCCTTTCCCTACCTACTTGAGGTAGGGAAAGGTAGCACCAAACCAACCTGGTTAAAACCAGTTTTTTGTTACACTAGCAATGGCTTGAGTAAAAGCGTTTACTGCAGCTTTGGACATACAATAAGACCATTCAGAAGAAATCTGTTTCAAGTGTTTCAAAAGGAAGTTTACTTGATTTTTTATCGATTTATATTGACATATCACGACTTACCGGTTTCAAGCCATCGACACTTGATACGTTAACGATTGATCCTTTGGACTCAATGAGATAAGGTTTAGCCAAATGAGTTAAGATAACTGCTGTCCGAATGTTAGTTTGCATAACACGATCATAATCAGCAATAGCTTCAGGGTCATCAAAACTTTTTAGATTAACTACACCGACATTGTTGACAAGAATGTCCAGTCGACAGTAACCAGCAATCGTTTCTTCAAAGGTTCTTTTAATGTCTTCATCGTGTAAGAAATCGGCTCTTATAACGACTGGACGGTAACCATGAGGTGACTTAGCTTCACATTCAGCAGCAACTTTATCCAGTTTAGACTGATCTCGACCAACAATGGCTACTTTAGCACCTAATGATGAAAAGAGTATAGCTGTTGTCTTTCCGATTCCATCGCTTGAGCCAGTAATTAAAGCTACTTTATTGTTTAAATTGATCATTGTATTAGCACAAGTTGTAACAATCAAACAGTAAACACGACAAGTGACAAGTTGCAGTCGAAAAATGAACTTATATATTAATCATTTTAGCCCCTCTAATGAAACTATTATTAATAAGTTGAACTATGAGTTTTGAACAAACGCAACTTTTCAATTTTTGGTTAATGATCTCATTGATTAAAAGCTAATTTCTTCATCATGGTTATGTTTCACAATCCTGAGATTCAATCAAAAGGAAAAACCCAAAATACCGTCAAACTCAATGCAATCAACTGTATATCATTCTTTTTATCCAGATACCAAAATTGTATCAAATTGTTGGCAATCAGAACTTTGTTATTGTGATTCACTGCAATCTTTTAAAGTTTAGATGCAATTCATGAATGGAATGATAAAATATCCAAATAAAATTTTTGAGTGATGAAATATTGATATCATGATAGATTTCATCAATTGTTCTGGTCATAGTGCTTTATTGATCAGTTAAAATCAGCTTAATTTCAATGTGGCAAAGTTATCGGTTTTGATATTGTTAACTTTGATCTCTCTCATTTCAATTGCGTGACACAGAATCAAAATTAATATAATGATGAAATAAATTTAAATTCATCACAAAAGCTAATTTGATAAACATGAATAAATTTCAATCACATAAAGTTACATAATAACTAATCGATATCAGTCTATTTCGAAGTTTGAACTCTTTAGTTTGATGGTTGATATCGACATTCGAATTTAGATGAAAAGTTAATGTGACTGTGGAATGGCAATGGTACACGACATTCGATTGACATGTAGCCAATTGTCATCGAACACACTATTTATAATGAATCCTCCATCATAGCTGTTATTATTAGTCGAAGATCATTAATATCGTTCATGCTTTATGCCCATCTTAAAGTGCACTTAAATTGCAAGTGATCTTGAATTAAACAAGATGATTTATCGTGAAATACATCTAAACAGGTGGATATGTACACTAATTCAATAAAGTTCACATGAATTTGAAGTCGATCGATGAGAAGACAATTCGTCGAGTTTCTTCATTGGTAGTAAAATCCTTGGATTTTGTTCCCTACCATTACTGATGATATTAGTGCCTTTATCATCCAATTACGCAAAATATAAATTGTAATAATTCCTTAACAATTATAATCCCTAGTAACTAATGAATTTAATGTCATAAGTCCATGAAAGTTGTCTTTACTTATTTGATGAATAGATGGAAGATCTCGATTTGATACTCAAAGTTTTAATTATACTCTTCAACAAAAAAGAACAAAAAACCTTTTCTAATTTCGATATGATAATGAATGGTTATGAAAATAGTTACAAAGGAAATAATTCACTTGGCAATGAGGTTCGTAGATAACTTTTATTATGCTTTGTAAACTTAGTTCGATTAAACTATCAGTTTTATCTCGACTGATCATGCAAAGTGGTTTATTAGATTTGATTAAGGTTTTACATTCGTATATAAGACCTTTTCCATTTTTTTACGATTTCATGTTTTCTGTCAAGTCAGTAAAATGATCGACTTGGATAATAAAGTTGCTTTAATTACTGGTGCTAGTGACGGGATTGGAGCTGCAACTGCTTTACTATTTTCGTCTTTAGGTGCTAAAGTGGCCATCGTTGGACTTGAACAGGATGATTTGGATAAAGTAGCTTCTGAGTGCGAAGCCAATTCACCTCATAACTACAAGCCAGTTACTATTAAAGCTGATTTCATGAACGATGACGATATTAAACGCACCTTTGAGGAGACAATTAATGCTTACAGTCGATTGGACATTCTTGTCAATAATGCTGGTGTGATTAATAAGAAAAGGTTTGGTGACTCTGACATAGTGGTCGATTATGATCGAGTTATGCAAGTGAATATTCGAACTGCAATCATCTTAACAGACTTGGCTAAACCATATTTGATTGAATCCAAAGGAGCCATTGTCAATATATCGAGTGTTAATAGCTTCAAAGCGGTAAGTCTTAATCAGTCTACTTCAATGACAATCAATAAGATGAATGGAAGAAATAAAATTAGCTCTGAATTTCCGACAGACTGATGTTCATTGGGCATATTGCATATCCAAAGCTGCTGTGAATATGTTTACTCAAGCCATGGCCAGTCTCTTGGCTCCTGATGTTCGGGTAAATGCAATCGCTCCTGGACCAGTTAAGACTGGCATAATCAAGAGTATGGGTGATCCTGATAAGATTTGGGATGCATTGGCTCAAAAAATGGCACTGAAACGAGTTGCCGAACCGATTGAAATGGCACGACTAGTCGCACTACTTGCATCTGATGCTGCAAAAAACATGACTGGCACAATAATAACATCGGACTCTGGATATCTTCTAGGTGATCCTTACCGTTGATATTGAATCTAAGTATAATAAATCTTTGTTTTCATAATCAAAGTAAATCATTCCAAAAGTTATTTCCTGAATATCATTTTTTTGTTCGAAGGATGGTGAAAAGATTCCATTTATTTACTCTTTCTGACTTCTAACTACTCTTGTAACGCAGATTATATTGAGTGTATTATCCGTCTCAGGTCAAGTCAATTGTTTGAGGATAACCATCAATGAATCACTTCAATTGTTATTTTGTGTTATTATTGACGCATTAACAGGTCAGTTCAATTTTTTACACGAAACATCAATGATAAACACACGAAATCGATTAAAAATATTAAGATTTAATGTTTTACATGACTTCTAAATTTGTTCATTCAATCATGATTTTCGTAAAAAAGGGTAAAATCTGCTTCTCTCTGAGTACTCCAAGATTCCATGATTGACCGTTCTAACTGTAAGAATCTTTGAGGAGGTATTCTTAAAGGAAGTCTAATAAAATTTTCTTGATTCTCGTAAAAAGTGTTCTTCAACATTTGTTCAATTTGAACGGTTAAATTGGACAGGTTTAATTTATGCGACCCTTCCCGATGAGTAAGGATCTGTGAGAAGATATCCAGAGTCAGATGCAACTATTGAGCCAGTCATGTTTTTCGAAGAATCAGAGGCAAGAAGAGCAATTAATTGTGCTATTTCAATTGGTTCGGCGATCCGTCCCAATGGCATTAATCTAGCCTTCTCTTCCCATTGTTGCTCGGGATCGCCTGTGGCCTTGAATATACCTGTCTTAACCGGTCCAGGAGCGATTGCATTAACACGCACATGAGGAGCCAGAAGACCTGCAATAGATTGAGTAAACGCATTCACAGCGGCTTTGGACATGCAGTAAGACCATTCTCGATCATTCTGTTTGAAAATAATAGAAAAGGCTTTATTATTATTTTGATTGATCGTATTGAGCGTCATTGCAACCGTGCTTACTTACCGGTTTGAAGCTATCAACACTCGATACGTTGACGATCGTTCCTTTGGATTCCAGTAGATAAGGCTTAGCCAAATGAGTCAAGATGACTGCTGTCCGAATGTTAGTTTGCATTACACGATCATAATCAGCAATGGCTTCACAATCATCAAAACTTTTCAGATTAACTACACCGACATCGTTGACAAGAATGTCTAGCCAATTGTAACCAGCAATTGTCTCGTCAAAGGTTCGTTTAATATTTTCATCATGCAGGAAATCAGCTCTTATAACGACTGGACGGTAACCATGAGGTGACTTAGCTTCACATTCAGCAGCAACTTTATCCAGTTTAGACTGATCTCGACCAACAATGGCTACTTTAGCACCTAATGATGAAAAGAGTATAGCTGTTGTCTTTCCGATTCCATCGCTTGAACCAGTAATTAAAGCTACTTTATTGTTTAAATTGATCATTGTATTAGCACAAGTTGTAACAATCAAACAGTAAACATGAAATGTTGAGCTTCAGCCAAAAAATAAACTTTTATATAATATTACCACTAGATTCACCTCTGATGATTAGATGAGATCAATTTAATTTTAAATTGAACTATGTACTCTGAAAAAATGCAAATTCAATTTTGGCGAATGAGCTCACTGATTGCATTGCTTTATGGCCATCATTCGTGATTCTGGGACTTCGTTATAGCAGGAAATTCTGTGAAAATTCTCACTCTTGTTCTTTCAATACAATGTTTCAATTTCAATCCTATTTTTAACTTGTTTTTAAAATATAATACTGACGAAAATAAAGTAAAGAGAAATATTAAGATAAAATATTAATTGCTGAAATGATTTTATTCTAACAATGATAGATAGATATTCGGTCATATTCGAGACAGTTTTGATCACAATTGATCATCAAAATTCATTTTTATTTGCGAAGACTTTTCACATTCCATTTAAGAAATAAACAATTTATAAGTTCATTTTTTGGCTGAAGCTTACCATTTCATGCTTACTGTTTGTTTGTTAAAACTTTTGCTAATCCAATAAGACAACAATTTAGACAAATTTAATCACTGGTTCGAACGATGGAATCGGAAAAGCAACTGAATATGAAGCTAAGTCACCTCATGGTCACCGTCCTGTCATTTTAAAAGCCAATTTCTTACATAGTTACTCGTACATTTCACCTTTGGACTCGATTTTCTCGAAAGCCATGGATCAGATAAACTTTTAAATCACAAATAATGACTCAGTTT